TGTGAAAGTATCTGTGCAGTATAACAGAGAAAGCATTCTTTTAAGCCTGGCAGCAACATTGCATAAGGGAAACAGAGATCAGGATTGCAAAGGAGATCAGGATTGGAAGGGTTTGAATCAATTAGGTGTGGTAGATTTAGCCTGAGTTTGGCCTTGTTCCATGCATGTGTGTGACTGTGTATGTCTGTGTGTTGCCTATTTACTTATGACAACCCCATGAATTTCACAATTTTTTTAAGGAAAAGAGTACTCAGAAGTGCTGTGCTATTGCCTTCCTCATAGCCTGCAGCACCTGATATTCCTTAGTGATCTCCCATGCAAATACTAACCAAGGTTAACTCTGCTTAGCTTCTAAGATCAGCTGGGATCTGGTGCCTTCAGGGTATTTAGACTCCTATGTATGACTGTACCACTCTTCAAATGCCTTAGTGCAGCTAAGGACAGAAGTAAGCCTGCTTCTTTTTCACTTGAGTATATGTTCTGTATGTTGATCTTTGTTTCCCACGTTTAAATGCTGTCTCATTTGCCTGTGAATAAATAAGCACCATTCTGGTGAATCCTGTGATGTGATTTTAGAGACTCCTATCTTGCCAGCCTCGTCTTTGACCTTGACTCAGTTTACTGTTATTATTTATTTATTATATATCAAATATGGTCCTGGGCCAGTCAGGTGTTTATGACAAGCAAGGAACAGTGATATTTCCTTTACAGACCTTGATTATAATAAGTCATTTACTAACTAGTGACACTCTTAAGCTATTGGGAACTGGTGCCAGTCATTCTGGTATCTGTCACATTGGTATTTCTTACATTACCACTTTCTGCACCACTACACTTTCCCCTTTTAAGTAAAACAGACAAGGCTGCTTGTTGCTGCTGCTGTTGTGTGCCTTCAAGTAGTTTCTGACTTATGGAGACCCTATCATGGGGTTTTATGATAAGGATACAGTAATGTCTTATTGAGGAATGCTTTCCTTCCTCACCTTCTCCCAAGGAGAACTGCAGTGGTGGCTGGTGGATCATATGTCAACAGGACAGTGAAACTGCCTTGGGTTTTAGTTAGGGTTGCCAGTTCAGGATTGTCTCAGAACTTGAGGTTTCTGGGTCAGAACCTGAGTCCTAGGGATGCCTCCTGCTTATGTCATTAAGCCTTGTGCATTAAGTACTGATTACAGATGCTCACAACTTTGCATTCTCTCTCGCACACAGCAAACTGATTTTCCTGTTTGGAAATTAAAACAGAAATCTTAGTTAAAGGGCCTATTTTCAGATCAAGATGAAATGAGAAGATTATTCCTTCTCACTTACCTAGTTAGATGGGATTAGGGACATTTAATCTAGCCTTCTAGCCAAAAGGTGGGTACAGAGCAGAATGGAACATAAGCCCTGGTACTACAATGACTGGGAAAGGTTGAGGAACCTAATTAAGTGAATATATGGACTTCTATGGACCCTAAACTACTTTATAAAGATCTGTCTCCTCACCTCTTGAAATTGTTTAATGAAGTTTTCAGTCAAGGAATATGTCCCCAGACTTGGAGCATCTCTAGAATAATCCCAATTCCCAAAACTAGTGACCCTAATCCATCTGTTTCAGCTTTTAGACCAATCTCACTTATTAATCAAGATGCCAAACTATTTACAACTATACTGGCTCGTAGAATAAACATCTTTATTACTGATTATATTGATCAAGATCAAACAGGCTTTATGCCAACTAGAAAAATTTCAGATGCTATTCGTAGAGCGCTGAATGTCATCAATTATGCCTCTCACTCAGAGACCCCATTGGCCATGATGTCTCTTGATATATTGAAAGCGTTTGGTCGTTTACATTGGGAATACTTATTTGGAGTGCTTCAAGAGATGAACTTTGGTCCAAAATTTATTAAAGTTCTGAAATCTTTATACATCGGTTCTCAAGCAACCATAATTGTCAATAAATTAATTTCAAATCCCTTTCCTATACAGAGGGGAAAAACAAGGCTGTCCCCTTTCCCCTCTTCTTTTTGCCATAGCTATTGAACCTTTAGCTAATCTTATTCGGTGTAATTCCAATATATTAGGCCCAAAAATTGGAGTCCAAACTCATAAACTAAATTTATTTGCAGATGATATATTACTTTTCTTAGAATATCCTCATAAATCATTTATGAAATTAAAAGCTATATTGGATTCTTTTGACCATTTTGCAGGTGTGAGAATTAATTATACTAAATCTAAACTTTTGTGTTTCAACATTTCTTCTGATCAACAGAGCATGCTGTAAAAATTAACAAATCTACAATTATATCCATCTGGGTTTATATAAGTGGGTGTATACTTGACCAAGGATATTAATCAACTTATTATACGCAATTATAAAAATGTTACCAGTTGGATTATTGCAAAACTAAAAGGATGGAAGCATCTATTCCCCTCGATGTTGGGGAGGATTGCTCTTGTGAAAATGTTTATCATTCCACACCTTTTTTTAAATTCCAAACGATACCTATGCACCCCTCCAACTTGAGAATTAAAAAGTGGCAAGGATTGATTAATTCATATATTTTTGATAATAAAAAAACTCATTTTCCTCAATCTACCAGATTCCTCCCTTCAAAAATGGGGGGGGGGGTGTTTCAATTATCTCAGGCAATTCTTTTAATAGAAAAAAGTATTAATATTTCATGGGTAAAAATGAAACTCAATGTAGATTTACACACTCTCCATAGATTTTTTTAAAAAAAGTAACAGATAAGGAGATTAAAGAATTAAAGAATCCTTGGTTTAAAACTACTATTGAGATTTGGCAAAAATGGAAAGACGTTCTTTCTCCAGATTTGTCACCTAATTGCCCATTTCTATAGCATCCCAATTTTTTTCATGAAGATAAATTCTGGTAATATCAAGGCTGGGAAGAAAAAGGAATTTATCAAATTAAAGATCTTTTTAAGAATAGCAAAGTCAAATCAATGGAAAATTTAGCATTAACTCTTGACCCAATACCAATTTTGTGGTTTCAATTTA